TATGTTGGTAATCCCCTGATAACCTTGTCTGTTTCTTCTATTGCTATAGGTTTGTTGATATGCTTGATGTCCCTCTGGGATAGTCTAAGGAGGGATAGTTTTTCCAAGTATTTGTCCATGTCTTTCAAGGTGTTGAATTTATAGGACTGCAGGCCTTCATAGTAATGTGTAAATATCCTTTTGATTTCATTAGAGTCAGTTGTAATGTCCCCTGTTTCATCCCTCATCCTTGCCATTTAATTTTGTTCCTTCCTTTCTTTGATTAGGTTTACTAGTGATCAGTCGATTCTGGTAATCTTTTCAAAGAATCAACTTTTAGCAGCATTATTTTTTCCCATAGTTTTCTTATTTTCCCTCTCATTCAATCTCAGCCCTGATTTTTATTATTTCTTTTCCTTTTCTATTGATAGGATTGTCCTTTTGACTTTGCTCTAATTGCTATTAATTTTGTACCAGAATGTCAATTATAAGTTTCTCTTCCTTTTTCATGTGTGCATGGATTGCTATCAAACTTCCTCGGATAACTGCTTTTGGTGTGTCCCGAAGGTTTTGGTACATCATATTCTTATTCTCGTTGGTTTCTAGAAATTTCCCAATTTCATCTCTGATCTGGGCCAGTATCCACTCCTTTTGCAATAGAGGGTATTCACCCTCCAATTGTTTTCTTAATCCCCCTTCTGTTGCTTTCCAGCCGTATTGTGTAGTGGTCTGAGTGGCCTTTATTTGTTTGAATTTACGTAGGATTGACTGGTCCCCCAATTTGCGGTCTATCTCTGAGTGTATGTCATGTGGGCTTGAAAAGAATATGAGTTATTTGCATTTGGGTGGAGAGCTCTGTATCTATCAGGTCAAGCTGTCTTATTGTAATGTTTAGATCTGTAGCCTCCTTGTTAAGTTTCTTTCCCTGTGATTCATCTTTCTCAGAGAGTGGTGTATTAAAGTCACCTACTGTAAGTGTTGATCCTGTGATTTCTTTTTCCATCTTTTGGAGCTTTTGATTGATGAATTTTGTGGGTCTCTCGTTGGGTGCAAACATATTTATGGTATTATGTTCACTGGTTCATGGTCTACTGTTCCCTTGAGCATTATATAGTGCCCCTCCTTATCTCTTGTTATGGGTTGCACCTTAAGATCAATTTTATCTTAGATTAGGATTGCAACCATTATTTTCCTTGAATTGCTATTTGGTGGATATGTTTTTCTCCAGCCTTTGATTATTAGCCTACTTTTGTCTGTTATCTTGAGATGTGTCTCCAGGTGGCAGGAGATTGAAGGGTTGTGTTTCTAAACCAGTCTGTTAGCCTCTGCCTTTTAATGCCTGAATTCAGTCCATTGATATTCAGGATTATTACATCCATCTCTGTAATCTGTGATGTCATCTTTTATCTTTTGTGTTGGATGTTTTCCTACCTCCCTTTCTTATCCGTCGGCTGTGCATGTGTGTGTGATTCAGTCATGCCTTCTTTCCACCGTTGGGCCAATGCTATCTTTGGGGCTGTTTTCTCTTTGTTGACCACTGGGTGGTATTGTTCTATGTGGTAGTCTCTTATTTGTGCTTGCTGAGTGCTATTCTTCTGCCCATATGGAGTTGGGAAGGAGCTTTTGTATGGCTGAGTTTCTTTTAACGTATTCTTTGAGTTTTTCCTTTTCCGGGAAAACTCTTACTTCTCCATCAATCTTGATAGATAATTTGGCTGGATAGAGTATTCTTGGGTTTGCATTATTTTCCTTCAATTTTTGGAATATGTTACGCTACTCCCTCCTCTTCTTTATATTGTCCGTTGAGAGGTCTGAGCAAAATTATATATGGCTAAAGAGCTATGTTAACGTGTGAAACTGACAAGGGGTGATCTGTTGTAGTTGCATCATCTGGTGTCAATTTGGGACTTGAGAGGATTAAGAGTGAAGGGGTGGAGTCTAGTCTGTCAATCGGATGTTAGCCAATGAGGCCTCTGTGGGGGCATGGCCTCCTGAGAATTTTGGGAACCTCTGTATTTTTCTCCTTGGAGGCGGAAGACACACACACTCTATCTCTCTGCTGATTTCCTGTGAGATACCCCTGAGGAGAAGCCACAGGAGACCCCTGCCAGTGCTGAGATACTTACAAGGCCACTGGAACCAAAGACTTTCTACTCACTGGTCTGTGATCATCCTGCATTCAGGTCTGTGATCATCCTGCATTGCATGTGTTTTGCGAGCCAGAAAAGGACTTTATAGATTGGTATCTGACATACAGACTAATATCAGACTTATGGATTTGATCTGGACTGGACTGGGATGTTTTCTCAATGTTCAATTGCTCTTGTACATAAACGTCTTCCTTATACACATATGCATGTCTATGAATTTGTTTCTCTATTCTACCAAGACTAACACACTATTCTTATTTGATTGCCTTTATAGGTGACTATGTTTTTCCCCCTAATTGCGCTTATGATTTTCTCCTTTTCCTCAAAGTTTGATAGCTTAATTATTATATGCCTTGGTGACTTCTTGGGATTAATTCTAGCTGGTGTTCTTTCAGCTTCCTGAATGGTTACTTGGTTTTCGTTCTTTAAGTTTGGGAAGTTTTCCTCTAAGAATTCCCTCGCTATTTTTGCCATCGACTTCTTTGTATCTTGTTCTGGTAATCCAGTTATTCTGATGTTCCTCTTCACAGCATCAGACATAGCTCTCAGGTTTTCTTCAGCTTCTCTGATTATCTTGTCTTTTGTCCATGTTTGTTGAGGTCTGCTTAGTTGTCCTCTAGGTCACCGGTTCGATTCTCTGCCTTCTCCAGTCGGTTGGCAACGTCTGTGAATTTGCTACTAGGTTTTGTCATCTTGTCCCTTGGCTCTTGTATTTTGGGAATGGCCTTTATCTCCTCTATCATTTTATCCTTTTTCTGTATTGCTTTCTCATATCCTGTATGACTCTAAGCAGCATTCTGAAGATTTCTTTCTGTGGGAGTTCAACATCTGCCTCTTCTATGATTGCCATTCGGTCTAGTTCATCCTCTGACATTGGATGTTGTTTCTTGTTTCTTTGTTGAATCTGTGGAGGCAGCTTGCTGCTTCCTTGTTGATTTTTTGGAGCTAGGTACCATTTTCCTGGGAGTCAAAGAGCCCTGGACTCTCTCTTTGGGAGATTGATATTGATGCTTCTGTAGGTTGCCTATAGCCAACTACCTAAGGCATAGAGTTTCACCTTTGTCCCACTGGAGTTTCCCTCTCACCCTAGCCTATAAGGAGTCTGTTGTTTGGAGGGCAGGTTGGGTGGCCCTCTCAGTATTCCCACACTGAGGTCAGCCTGCATCATGCTCCAGCAACTCTCAATATTCCGTAGGGGCTGTTTGCAGCTGTGTATGCCACAGTCTGAATGAAAATGCTAGCCTGGTTGCAGGAGAATGCAGGTCAGGGAGTGGGGATGTGGTGGGGGTGGGGGTCCCTTGCTCCTGGCTATAGGCAGCCAGCCAAGTCTGTTAGAGGGGTGGGACAAGGAATGAAAGAAAGTGCTGTTCTTGGAGGAGGTATCACCATTAGTGGTAATGGGCAGTGGGAATTCCCTTGCTGTTTGGGATATCAAACCAAGGCTACACCAGCTCTGGTAGTGGGAATGTGGTGGGGGTAGGGGTCCCTTGCTTCTGGCTAGAGGCAGACAGGTGAGTGTCTTAGACAAGGCAGGGAAAAAGAAGGAAAGAAAGTGCTGGTCTTGGAGAAGGAATCCTCTAATGGCCAGCAGGGGTGCCTTTGCCATTTGGGATATCAAACCTCAGCTACACTGGCCTCTGCTGGGTGGCTAGCACTTGGAATACTGCAGCATGCCAATACACAGTGCTCTGAAGCTGTGTAGCTGCTGGTTCCAGACTAGGTCGTGCAGGTGCAGGGGAATCAACTGACTGTCTTGGGAGTTAACTGACAGCTTTGGAACCCCTACTCGGCCTCCAGATCACCCAACTCACCTGTCTCCATGGAGCTCCCAACATAGGCTGCCTACCTGTTCGCCATCTTACTGAGCTCCCATATAATAATTATTATTACTGATTTTTAAATTCCTATTTTAGGGCTGAGGAAATGATTGGAAATTTTTTCTCACCTACTAAAGCCTGATCTGATGATGAAGCCAATCTCTCCATCCTTACCTCTAAGCAATGTTCTGGTTGAATTTCTTCTAGGATTGATATGTTTCTTCTTTTGGAATCCTAGAGTAGATTAAAAATTCTTTACCAACAAATAATGCATAAATTCTGTTTCTTTTTTTCACTATCCATCTTGCACATGAACTGAGGCAACTGAAAAGATCACAGTTTGAGTTAGGTATACCTTAGTCATCAAAGTAACATTGTTGCTTAAGATTTTTAAGTCCTGTACAGCAGATTTGTTCAATTAAAGACATTGTTTTTTGACAGCTGTTTTCATGGAATGCTGATTTTTGATCCAAGTACCATGAACTTATTGGCAACTTCTGGTAAACTAAGAGACTGGATTAGAATATAATATAGCTAAATCATCCATGCTCATAATTATGGGTCTGGAAAGCCGACTCTGGTGGGGGGAAGACTCTCAGCGTTATGAGAATATAAATAAATATTAGTATATTCATAACTGAACACACGCCCTCCAGTAACCCCCCATAAAAGAACTGTCATACAGGAGCTACAATATAAGATGAGTCATTTCTGTGTCTGGCTACTTCACAATACCTAAAGCTTATCTGTAGACAAAAACAATCAGGTTCTAAAGCCAACTCACCACAAAATGTAACAAATTCTGTTTTGGTATCACTTGCTGATACCTATCAGAGGTTATTCCCCCGAGAGAGAGCTTAGGGAGATTTGAGGTCAACTAGCACTAGGTCAAAATGCTGACACACCTCATTATTTCCTATTAACTATGACATGCATGCCTTATGAAAGATCTATAAGCCCCAGTATGTATATATATATATAAATATATTCTCTCTCTAAGTCCTGATATGGGATGAAGAGCCCCAGTGCTTTGCTGTGTCTGTCTTTTTTTTTTTTTTTAATGTACAGCCATTTCATATAGGATGAGGACAAAAAAAACAATCCTCTCCCTTCAGATCATGGCATTGTTAATCTATCCCACAAGCATAATCACTTCAATCTATTATATTTTCCATAATCACAAAGTCACTCCTTAGGACCTGTTTGAGTGTTCGGGACAACCCCTCACTGAGACAGCAACTTTAATGTTTTCCCTCTTCATCACGATGGTGTTTATTGGAATAGTTGTGTGAACTTTTTTTTTTTTTTCACATTTAGCCATAATCCATACTAAAGGGGATAGTACTTAACCTTTAACTGTGTTTCAAGTCCTCTTTACTTTCAGCAGCCAGGGTTGTGCCATCTGTATAGTAAAAGTTGTTAATGAATCTCCTTCCAATCCTGATATCATGCCATTTACTCCCTTGCTTATGAATTGTGAGGCTTTCAAATAAGCTACAGTTCAGTCAAGCTTTATACCAGGCTGCTGATAACTTAAGGAAAGTGTCCCATATGGTATTCTACAAATGGGTATGTGTCGACCCTCTATCATGTGCATAGTAACTAAACTCACCCTCTCTCACTTCCCCTTCTGTACACTAAGCTTTATGAGTGTTGAATGTTATAGTCTGGTGCATGGTATGTATGCAGTAAATATTTGGCTTACCAGTGGAGAGTTCTGAGGGGCCAGCCCCAATCCCAACTACGTGGACACCTGACCCTCCCCGCAGAAGAATTTATTTCAGAGGACGGCACTGAATATGCAGCTCTGGGAGAGGGACATATCTGATCAGAGCACACGGGAGCAGATGTTGGGGGACAAGAAGAGAGTGGAGCACATCCTGGCTCACCTGGCCTTGAGGACCATGTTCCCGCTCAGAGTAGCCAGTCCACAGAGAAGACCACATTACCAGCCCCACTATGAGACATAATGTCCCTCACTGACCCATAGCCCTACAGGGGACAAAACTGGAGACAGTGTGGGAATTTCTCTCCATCTGATCCCACCACACCCAGGCAAAACACTAAGGGGGTGCAACAGAATAACAAGGGAACGGAGCAGTGAGGTCTCCAGGGAATGCGGAAGGTGGACTTTGAGGCCAGGGCTTGGTGCCCCAACAGACTGGACTGGAAAACAAACAGTCCTTGAACTAACAACACGCTTTTCTTTCTTGTTGTGTTTTGTTTTGTTTGTCATTGGTTTGTTGTTGCTGTTTCGTTGGATATTGTTCTTTAGTTTTGCTCTGTCTTATTTTTGTGCATGTTATTATCTTCACAGATCTATTTAAATAAGATAGGCTGCATGAATAATCTGGAAGAAAAAACAACGGGACCGACAGTTTCGGGGGGACATGGGAGAGGGGAAGGTGGGGGGAAAGGTAGTGGTGGTAACAAACCAAGGAGCAAGGGACAACAAGTGATCCAAATTAGTGGTGAGGAGGGTGTAGGAGGCCTGGTATGGCGTGATCAAGGGTAATGTAACCAAGAGGAATTACTGAAACCCAAATGAAGACTGAGCATGATAGTGGGACAAGAGGAAACTCAAGGAAATAGAGGAAAGAACTAGAAGGCAAAGGGCATTTATAGAGGTCTAAATAAAAGCATGTACATATGTAAATATACTTATATATGAGGATGTGGAAATAGATCTATATGCATATATTTATAGATTTAGTATTAAGGTAGCAGATAGACATTGGGCCTCCATTCAAGTACACCCTTAATACAAGAATACTTTGTTCTATCAAATTGGCTTTCTATGATGCTCACCTTCCCAACACAATCACTGAAGACAAAGCCGGTGCATAAGCAAATGTAGTGAAGAAAGCTGATGGTGCCCTATATCAAAAGATATAGTGTCTGGGGTCTTAAAGGCTTAAAGGTAAACAAGCAGCCATCTAGCTTAGAAGCAACAAAACCCACATGGAAGAAGCACACCAGCCTGTGCGATCACGAGGTGTCGAAGGGATCAGGCATCATCAGAACAAAAAATCATATCATTGTGAATGATGGGGGATTGCGGAGTGGAGACCCAAAGCCCATTTGTAGGCCACTGGACATCCCCTTACAGAAGGTTCTCGGGGAGTAGATGTGCCAGTCAGGGTGTGATGTAGTAACAATGAAACATACAACTTTCCTCTAGTTCCTAAATGCTCTCCCCCCACACTGTCATGATCCCAATTCTACCTTACAAATCTGGCTAGACCAGAGGATGTAAACTGGTACAGATAGGAACTGGAAACACAGGGAATCCAGGGCGATGACCCCTTCAGGACCAGTGGTGTGAGTGGCAATACTGGGAGGGTAGAGGGAGGGTGGGTTAGAAAGGGGGATCTGATTAGAAGGATCTACATATAACCTCCTCCCTGGGGGACGGACAACAGAAAAGTAGGTGAAGGGAGATGTCAGATAGTGCAAGATATGACAAAACAATAATTTATAAAATTTCAAGGGTTCATGAGGGAAGGGGAGTGGGGAGGGAGGTGAAAAAATGAGGAGCTGATGGTAGGGGCTTGGGTGGAGAGTGAATGTTTTAAGAATGATGAGGGCAATGAATGTACAAATGTGCCTTACACAATTGATGTATGTATGGATTGTGATAAGAGTTGTATGAGCCCCTAATAAAATGATTAAAAAATATTTGGCTTGGACATTGATGATTAAAGGATGGACAGTTTCAACTTCTTCAAAGTGGTGATATTGTAGGAAGACACAAAAGGCTTGAAACATAAGGATATAATAATCTGTGCTCCTTCCCCTTTAGGCAAAAAATTTCCCCTAAAGTTACTTAAGCACACAAGTAAAAAGAAACTAGATAAAGGAAATGAGCCTCTTAGATGACATCATCCTGGCCACACATAGTCACGGTCAAGAAGAAATGTCCTCAGAGACCAAAGTAGTTCCAAGGAACGCACTAGAATTTCAGCTTTGTGTGATGAATGTGTGTTCACCAACAATCAGCTGCCCTGCAGAAAAGGAGGAAGCAGCACCTGCCCATGATAAATAAGCATGAAACAAATTTCCCCCCTGAATCCTACAATACCCTTGAGCAGTTAGTAAATAGCTTCATTGCAAAATCCTAGTGACCTCACATAAAGCTGACAGGGACATTTAGATGTGAGACAGCTATCATTTACTAAGGTTACCACAATGCTACATGGTTTTGTACTTACTTTCCTTTGTCCTCACAATAGCCGTATACATTAGATTGCTACCCCCATTTTAGAAGGAAGAAGATAAGTAAGGCTTAGGGGTTGCATGATTCACTCAGTTGTAGAAGTAACAGAGTTGAGATTCAAATCTTGGTAGAAAATCTGAGTCAACGTGTGGTAGTTACATAATTTCATATCAACTTGAAGTGTAAAAGTGTAGTCTAGTCTGTCAATTAGGTCACAGCCTGATGGTGCCTCATTGTGGGCATGACCTTCTCATAAGGAAGGTCCTGGGAACCTCCCACTCTCTCTTTGTCTTCACCTTCCTGTTGAGGAGCCACCCTGAGACCTGTCAGAGTCCTGGAGATGTATCCACTGTTACTGTATCCACAAGAATTTGCACCCACCAGCACGTGATATCCCTGCATTTGGCATCATTGCTTGTGACTGTGTGAGTCTGAAGAGGGAATTATGGACTGGTATTGGACTTATGGACTTGAGTTGGACTGGGCTGGGATGTTTTATTGATGCATGAGTACTTCTTTATATAAAATTATTCCTTAGACATATATGAGTATCTGTGGATTTGTTTCTTTAGTCAACCTGACCTAATACACAACTATTACTCATTTCCATTAAGTCAATTTTGACTCTTAGCGAATCTGTCAGACTATTAGAAATGCCCTAGTATTTCCAAGGCTATAATATTTACAGACACAGACTGTCATGTTTTTCTACTGAGAATCGGCTAATGGGGTCAAACCTACGAGCTTACATTAAAACCCAATCAGTTTAAATTTAAAATATTCAAATTAGTTAATACACACAAATAAATGAAATGTTAGACGCATATCATAATAATTATCTCTGATTTATTTACCCATAGAATATCTCTCATATATTTTGTTTGCTTTTGTTCCTATATCTGTAAATAGATTTAAGCTAACACATCTTAGTCTTCATCTGGTTTCTGGTATATCTGTGGGGGAAGCCAGCCCCCTACAACTAATCACGGGTTCAGTAAGTGCAATTGTACAGTTAGTAAGTCATGGAGAAATTGGAGAGATGGGAGAGAGAGAGAGGGTAAAATAAAGAAGTCAGACACATTTTATGGTAGCATGCTCACCTCCTGGATAACCATGATCTCACCAGCCAGGTCTGAGAGGGCAGGAGGAGTTTCTTTATTTCTGGCCAAGGCCCATATAAAATTCAGGGGTGTGATTACAGGTAACCACATCATGTCATAGGAAGGAGTTGTACACTAGGCACACACATCACAGGAAGGGGATGTACAATAGGCATAAGCGTCACTGGAAGAGGATGAGCTAGGGGTGTACACGTAATAGGAAGGGGGTGGGATTAGGGATATACATGTGACAAGATGAGTGGACCCTAAATTCATGATAGTGGCCTAAGCTTGGTCACCCTTGAGTGGGCTTGACCTCCCTGGGCTCTCCTTCAGAGAAACAATCTGCTATCCTTATTAGAAGGGAGTGGGCCCTGCTTAGGGTGGGACAGACTATACAGTCTGATTGCTCTAGATGGCTGATAACCCTTTGGAGAATAATCTCTGACCTACTTTCGTTGACCTCCAAGTGTATAGTCATTTGCCATGTGTAGCAAGCAGCTGTTTGGCCTATATTTGGGGGAGACAACTTGGGAGAAATATTTCCGTATCCCACACTATATCCACCTTGGATGTTTGCCATAGCACCTTCCATTCAGCATCTTCCAAACTGTTCTTCAGAATACTTGTCAACCTGGTGTTGCAAAGTGTGGCTTTAAAAATTCTTGCAGGCATATATTTTGTGGGGTATATAGATTTATTTGATTAACTTTGCAGTTTTCAGAGTCCTTAATCTACTAACAAATGTAATGAGCATGTAGTTCATAGATGGGCCAAAGGGTACATTGTTAGTGTTAAGTGCTGTCAAGTTGGCTCTGACTCACAATGACCCTATGTATAAAAGAACGAAATACTACTGGATCCTGCACCATCTTTACAATTGT